TGTCAAACGGGGTAAGACGAAGAGGTTACCTTACTAACATGAAAGCTTTGCTTGTTGTCTCATTTCCTCTGAGATGAGCCTCTTATATTCGCAAGGAATGCTGACCAAACTGAGTCAGGTTGAGATTGCACAGCATCATCGAAACTAGCATTGACCAAACTGCTCCAGAGGTGTTGCTGAGACAAGTTTTGAGTCTTGACTTGCCCATAGCGCAGCATGGGGAACCAGAGAACAAGCTAACATCTCGTAATGCAACGGAATCTTGCTGATCATAGTACTATTGCGATCACATATAGGTACGGTTCAGTGCTCTGTCAGTAGCCGAATCAGGGTACAAGCTTGATCATAAGCGAACACAAAATGCAGGATAGGCAACACTAACATTGAAAATGTCGTTACTCGCACTACATTGCAAAGTCGTTCTCTTGCTAAAGTGCCCATCCCGTTCGCACGGTATCCAGTCGGCTCCATGCATACTTTCGCCTCAAGGAGAGAGCTTCGAGTCGTTTCACAAACTAATCACTTGGCTACTGTCGGGCAAATCTATGTTGGGAAGCAGTTAGAACGCCCATTCCACAAATCCATTCATCGTTCTGTGCGGCTGCAGAACATGAATATTCATGGTTATGGAGACACAACGATGCACCTGGTTCAAAACGGGCTCTGAGCTCCATTGTGGTGGGCTCTTCCGGAAATATTCGTCCATCAACCAGACTTTAACAGCCACCTCAAAAGGGCGATTGATTTGCAGCTTTCCGTATGTACATACACAAACGAATATGTTACAGCCACACCTCTTTTGTCCCCAGATTTCAGGAGTGCCTGCTCCGCCTTCGATGAACGGGCCCTGGGACTTTCAAGACATGGATGCTTGAGTACCGAAGCTGACTATCTCTTGAAAACAGAAAACCTTCATGATTAAGGACCCTTAGGCAGTCCTCGGGGAACAAGAGAATATTCAAGACTTTAGAAGAGGTTGCTAAAATAAACTTAGAAAAGAGCTCCCTAAGCTTAGGTATAATTGTCCAAGTCTTTTCGCCAGTTAGGATGAAGGCCCTAAGTTTTCTTACCTCCCCCGTGGCAGTATGATCTCACAGGATATGATTAATCATACCTCGAATCTATCCAATTTGATCAAGCACACAACAAGAACACAACACATATTTTCTTCTGCATCTACAATTTTTACAAGCGCCTACGCGTCGGTATTAGAGTTAGAAGACTTTAAAGAGGTGAGCCTCTACTGTCTGTAAAGAGGAAAAAAATAGCCATGCTCGGTCTTCAAGTTGCGAATCTCCCGTCACTTCGTGTCGTTTATTACCGTGATTGAGAATTCCGAGTGGGATCTTCTGTTAGTTCCACTAACGTTTTGACCAGGATGCCAACGTTCTTTTTCTTCGAGAACCTTATCCTAGCCTAGGTATACTTTGGGGGCCCCTGCCAGTAATCACCTGGCCTGATTTTAAACTGTTATTACAATTCTTCTTGTAGGCAAGTTTGCGAGGATAGATCCTCAGCAGGCTCAGAGAATTTGCTTTGGGGATCCCTGGAAGCCGTATGTTTTGCAAGTCCCTGCCTGAATTCTCCTAAATTTACATAGCCTTTGTTCAACCGCCCGAAACTCATGTCCAGTCTCTTAAACTTATAGTTAGCTGTACGTACTATTATAGTAGGCTGCTCTTCTTGTTGTAAGGGAACACCAATCCATACGGTGATGTCGTAACTCTTGAACACCATTAATCTAAGTATTCTCTAGGCTATGCGCATGAGTCAACTCTGCTGTTTATTGGCGGCCCTCTACTGATCGGGCACTAACCGTATTTCCCGTGTATATGTACGCTTTTATTGCATTCCGTTACCAAGATATCTTGTGAAGGAGCATAGTAGAGTCTTGATGGTCCCAAGACCTTGTTCTGGGACAGGAGGTGTACACCCTTCAATCTGAGTAACCACTCGCATTCGTTTCTGGGTAGGCGGGTGATAATCATCAACAAAGGGTTTTGGTCAAAATGAAACCGGCATGCCCTCTTGGCCGAGATGGGGAAGACAAATGCCCAAGTCTGCGATCTTTGATTCCATATGCTATTAATGAGCGGTGATATTCTAATTCCTACCTGTAGTGATGGAACCTGCGAGGAGACAAGGAGAGAACCTACGTGTTTACCATTTATCTAATTCTTACTAGAAATTACTATGATCGTTACGATACGGGTATAAATCTGAATTGCCCCAGCAGAATGTTCTGTAGATATTATATGGAGGACCATCTCCCCCCCACGACTGCTGGCACTTTTCTTCCTCCCCTTGATCTAGCAGGTCACAAGTCTAAATACGGAGAGTTTCCAAGTGGCCTGTTTAATATGGAGACGATCAGGTTTCAAGATGAAGCTTGTGGCAATCCAATGGCTACAGCCTAGCCAGCTGGAATCGCTCAGGTGACCCTTGTTTGCTGAAGCCCAAGCATGAAACACTCGACCGCCGGGTCGTAACATGTAACGAGCATGGAATCTCGACATCATTCAAGAGTCTGACTTGAGAGTCAAGCTGTGCTATTATGCTATTATAACTCAAGATCGACAGCAGTCTGTAGTCGCAGGTATCAATGTGATGGATGTCATACAAGCTAGCAGTGGCAAAAAGTCTGGCTTCCAATATCCCCTCATGTCTGGAACATAGTCCACAGGAGTCAGCTGTATTCACGCAACTGCCGTTTACATACCCTGGCAGAAGATCGAGTGTCTTGTCCATCCCGGAGAAGACACAGCCTAGAAACATGTCAATTACGCTTGTTGATGTGTTTCGCTTACGGGGCAAGCTCAAGCCAATCTATCTACTCTACAATTGCATCTTGTCAGTAATATCAAATCAACTTCTAAAATCTTTATCAGGGTTGATGGGGCATGTGGATTGGATGGCGACATAGGATATATCTCATTAAGCTAAGAAAATCACAGCTATCTATTTCCTTATTTCTCGATATACTCTGTGATTGTGTTATTCTCAACAATTTCATCATGGGGATTTCCTTTTGCCTCTCGTGGTGATTCAGAATAAATCTGCCTCGGCAAACAGAAAGGAGCAAATACCGAAAGAATTAGGGGTTTGTCTCGGAGTCTTGATGCAGACTAACTGACTATTTCGCGGGTAGGAGACTTCTGTCACTTCGCCAATCTACCCCCAACTGTCACTTGATGCGAAACAGGTGATTCTCCTGGCTGCATATTCGACACGTACATCTTGAGCATGCCTTGCCAGAGAAACTATGCCTCACTTCTGCTCAACTTTGATCAGTGTCTCCTGTTTTCATAACTCCCCGAGCGGTCTATCACTGAGAGACAGACCTATTCGTACAGTAAAGACTACCTACCCTGCTACCTAGACAAGGTCTAATGATCGGCGGGTGTTTCAATCAATTGGTCGAACGAAGGCTCGCAAAGATGGCCCGTAAACAGAAGCACGAAACCAAACAAAAAGTGACTGAGCGCAGATAGACAGTTTCATCTTTTAGGTGTCAGTGCAGCTAGACAAGCTAACAAGATGTGGTGGACTCGGTGATGGTTGTTTCGAGCTTTGACCTCTACATTTTAGTTAGCAATTGGTGTTGTGGGCCTTGCTTGGTTGGTGCTGAGGCAAAAGACCCGGGCTCTTCTTCCATAAGAAGAAGTTATAGAACCACGCAGAAGGTACGGAGTACAACAAAGACGTTGAATCTACCCTTGTGTTTATGAGGCAAGGGTAAGGGTAATGATTCAACAGACACAACTGCCGAAGAGGCTGACGGGTGGTTTATTTCGAGGCTATTGCCGCCCTGCTCTGACACCCATCAGGATATCGGATGTGTCTGCATGAGCCTTGATTGCACGGTCAGACCTCTTGAGAAGGTCTCGGCTTTATGTCGTACGATGATGTACTCAGTGCATTCTGACAGAGAGAGGCGTGCTCTCGGGCATCATTCACGAGTACCTAGGAGATGCAAGAAAACTCAGCATCTCGGGCCTAAGCAATGAATCCTAAACAATGAAATATTTTGGTAATTTAATCTAAGCCTAGGGGGGCCCCTTGATGAATTCACTTCAGTACCCGAGTCTCCTTCCTCCTCAGGAACGCCTTCTTCCTCATCCGAAGCTATATCAATCAGCATTGATTCTCTTCATGATATGGTCGTTGGTCTCCTCGAAGTCGGGCAATTCCACTTCCTCTTTCTGTTCAGGTGCCGCCAGAGCTGACAGCAACTATTGAAAACCTCGTCATCCTCACCAAAGAGAGCTCCATGTAGAACTTTATGTATTCCAGTTGAGAACTGCGACTGTCGTAGGCATATTCAGTGACATTCTCCTCTCTTGCCGTGGTCCAGGATGGCTCAATGATAATCAAATGAGAGGCCTCTGCTATAATTAGACCAACGCCCGCCCCTAAGTAGCACTCATTGAGTCACCGATACAAATATCCAGGCGGGGCGGAGGACAAAAGTATCGTACCTATATCCTTGTTTACTTTCCTTGATGTCAAGAGCGGCTAGCAATGATGTGGAATACTTGTCCAGACCAACGGCATCATAAGGGACTCACTGGCGGAATACAGAGTCTGCAACCATCTTGAGTCGTTCTTTGCCTATCAATTGATGTTCAAGTGGGATAGTTTTGTAAAGGCCATCAGATCTTAGCTGGTGGGGGAGAAACATCAAAAGACTTCTATCCTAAGCGATTACAATACTTGGTTCGATTTAGATGAATTTAGTATAGGATCACGAGGCTCTATACTAGTGATTTATGGTATATTGAGTTAATGTCAAGAACTTTTCTTGCTTCCTAGGTTATCGCTAATGGCAAGATGTTGCATACCTAGTATGTGATGTATGGATTGGCCCATAGCAACTCAGGATAGGGCAACTTGAACATTATTACTGTTTTTATTTTTGGTTTTATTGATACAATCTCGTGAAGAGCACACCGAAGTTCAATCAGGTATTTCTGTCACCGAAGATCTGTCAAGGAAGTGACTCAGTAGTCGTAAAAGCCCTTGCCACTCTTCTTACCATACCAACCAGCGTTGACCATGTTCTTCAACAACACGCTCGGCCTGTATTTGGAGTCAGCGGTCTCCTCATACAGAACCTTCATGATAGAGAGACATGTATCGAGACCAATGAAATCAGCAAGCTGAAGAGGACCCATGGGCACGTTTGTGCCGTTCTTCATGATGGCATCAATGGAGTCACGGTCTCCAACACCAGTCTCAAGACAAATGATCGCCTCGTTAATATAAGGCATGAGGATGCGATTGGCAAGGAATCCAGGAGAGTCGGCTGACACCGAAGTGATCTTGCCCATGCGCTTGCAGAACTCAACGGCAGTGTCGAGAGTGTCCTGGCTAGTCTGCAGGCCGCTGATGATCTCAACGCCCTTCTGTACAGGGACGGGGTTCATGAAATGGGTCGACACAACGCGAGAGGAAGCTGAGGTATCAGTGGGATCCTTGGTAGTGGCAGCGGCGATGCGGGTGATGGAGATAGAAGAGGTGTTTGTAGCGAGAATAGCGTGCTTGGGGCAGATCTGAGCCAGCTTGCCAAATATGTCAAACTTGAGATTGGGCAGCTCAGGAACAGCCTCGATAACCATGTCTGCAGAGGAGAGGTCTTCCATTCTGGTGCTTGTACTGAGAAGAGAACGGGCGCTGTCGGCCTGCTCCTGTGTGATCCTTGACTTTGAGACATCCTTTGCTAGGAGTTTCTCAGCAAAGGCAATGCCCTTGGCCAGAGCCTTGTCTGAAGTATCGATCAAAGTAACGGGAACCTGAGCCTTTTGAGCTGCAACAAGAGCAATCCCCAATCCCTATCGTGGTGCTGTTAATTGTCTGAAAGCCAGAAATGTCTCTCACATGCTCTTACCATTTGACCCGCACCGATAACACCAAGCTTCTTGACCTCTGCGGCGGCATATTGGCGAGGTGAAGAGCTGAAGCAGCGGGCATGACGCACAACTGCCATAGAAGGCATTCGAAACATTGGAGCAGCCATTTTTTTCTTTCTGCTCTCGAAGATTGTGTGGGGGAATTTTGGAAATCACGATACAATAGTAAAGTGCCAGGACTCTTTAAGTTCTTCCCCACGGGGACGTTGGTATCTACGCCGACGCCGACGCCGAGATCAACGGCTCACGCCATCATATGGCGGGTAACCTCGGCTCGGAGCCGGCGGATCTTTCTTATCAATTGCCGAAATTTCTTTATCTTATCAACTCTTATCGATCTTCGCGTTAATTAGACACGGCAGACAAGACGCGACTAAGCGCGTCGTAGAATGAAGTAGGTGCCTTAGTGGGACTACCTAAGTACTAATGTTTTCTCATGTTGTCAAACCCCACGACCTTTAAATAGAGACAGGCAACTATTTGTCTGTCAATGCTGAGTGAAACAAGATCATGGAGTTGGCAGATGGATCAACAGATATTGTGCACCCAGAAGTGCGAGCGCATATCAACAGTCTTGTCTCAGCGGTAAGTTTTCCCATATTACCAATAAGTTAAAATGTTCTGACAAGCGGATTCCAGCTTGGAGGCATCAGCGCCGACGACGATAGCGGCTATCAACTCGGTGACGATGCACTCGAGGTTCTTCGCGATCTAAAACGATGGATACGCTTCTACGACGAAAAGACGAATCGGATGGATGTTGCGCGATGCATACACGAGGCGAACCTGATCGAGGGTGATCTGCTCCCCATTCTCTCGACGTGGCCCGAAAATGCCACGGACAGCAAATTCAAGTCCAGGATAGCCTTGGCTTGCTTCGAACTCATGGTTCCTCTCACCTGGCCGATGGCAAGGGACAGAGAGCGAATGACGGTCAATCACCACCGCCATATGCCGGTCCTGGAGCTTGCCCAGGTTGGATATAAGCGAGCCGTTATCAATTACGACGGAGCTCGCGTACTTCATACAGCTGTACGGGTGGCTCTCCCATCCATGGCAATACCGACTGGCGACCGAACACAACGTGATCATGGTATCATCAAGCTGGTATTGTTCTTCCTCCGTAACATCGCCATGATCGAGCCCCCCCCTGATGTTAAATACGAAGGCGATGAGTCTCAAATATCTCGATCCGCCACTATCGATGCGTTCTCATACCAAGACATCTTCCTCGTGCTCTTGACGCTTGCATCGAATATGGGAGAGGATTTTCGAACCGAAGACACATCTGTCATGGAAATTATATACCATTTAGTGAAACAAGTTGACATTGAAAAGCTCTTCATGAATGAGCAGCAGCTAAGTAAGGCCAAGGCCGGAGAGCTCGCCAATATGATGAGTAAGGAGTCGTCCATGTTGAAGGCACACAACCGCAAAGGCCCAACTCGCCACAACCGATTCGGTACCATGATTTGGGTGAAGCGAGACGACGGCAAGATGTCATCACTTTCGGGCCAGGATGCGCTGGCTGATGCCTCCATGAGGAATCAAAAGATGGATAACTCAAAAACTTTCCGACCTCCTCGCCGAGCACGAAAAGGGGATAAAGATGAGAAAGATCTCGGGTTGCCAACTAAGCTTAATTCTCGTGCTTATGACCAGTTGCGATCGTTTGTCGAAGATTTCCTTGACTCGGGCTTCAACCCCCTATTCCAACATGTCCGCAAAACCATTGATAGGGAGGCACCACATGTAATGCAGTATCACCGCCGTCAATTTTTCTACTTGGTAGCATGGTTTCTAGAAGCCGAGCGCATGAGGCGCAAGGCAAGGAAACAGTCGACTAAGAATCCTAGCGAGGACATCAGCAGTTTCAACCTCGTTGCAGGTGTTCTCAATCAGGAGATGTTCATCACTCTCAATAAAGCTCTCCATGAGTCGCTGGAGATGAAAGATTGGCATGAATTAACCGCTGTTATGCGTTGTTTTACCCAGATCCTTCTCACTGTGCAGGAAATGTCAGAGTCAGGCAACGAGGACAACGAAGAGATCGCCGAAAACGTGCTTAGTCGTCTATTTTACGAAGAAGCAACCCACGATGCAATTGCCACCATTATCAGAACTTACAAGGACCAAAGCTTCAACTACCTTGATGCTGCCACGGAACTGGTCCACCACTTCCTCCGCATTCTGGAAGGATACTCAAAGCAGAACATCGATATGCAAGTTCGCTCGCGGAAGCGAACTCGGCGGAAGAAGAAGGCTGCCCAAGACGCTGCAGGAATCGAAAATGACAACGACGAGAATGACGGTTCAGATAATGACGCCGCATCCGCTGAGCGAACAACTAAAGAACGAAAGTTCGACTTTCATCGCTTTGCAACGCGTTTCACGCCCCAGAGCGTAGTGGATACATTTGTCGCTTTCACCAAGTATTACCGTGATCTGACAGACTCGCAACTCAAGCGAGCGCATCGATATTTCTATCGCGTGGCTTTCAAAGCAGAGGCGAGTGTCATGCTATTTCGTGTGGACATAATTCACCTCTTTTATAACATGATCAAGGGCCCTGCTGCGCTTGACAAGTCCTCTAGGGTGTTCAAGGAGTGGGAAGAGTTGGTGAAGCAGATACTGCGCAAATGCTTCAAGAAGCTTGAACAGCGACCAGAACTCCTTGTGGAGATGCTCTTCAGCAAGGGATCTAGCACTGCCTTCTTTCTCGAGTACGGCTTCGAACGACAAACTGTCACTACATCCAGCAAAGCCAAACCTGCAGCTGAGCTGGTCTTCAAAAACACTGAAGAGCTAGACCGGCAGATCGCCATTGTCGTTGGAGCAATGTTGGACAAGAACCAGGCAGACCATGTCGCTTGGATCAAGAAAATCCTCGGCGACGCTGAGAGCGAACGTAAAGCTTTTATGGCAGCGGAAGAGGCAATGGCTTCAGTTGAGCCTGTACAAGACGATGCTGAGGAACAGCCAACAGAGTCGGGGCCAAAAGCTCCTCCTATATTTTGTGAGTTCAATGAGATTCGAGTATTTGTTCCTTCACTAATAATGCCTAGTCGTGCGTCCAGATGATAAGGACCGTCGTAATGCCATGTTCAAGAACTCTCAGATGCGACTTCTTATGAAACTTGTCGGTCTTCAGCTATTAGGCCCGGCATCAGATGAAACACCCGAGTCCGCATGGATTATACCTTCTGATGTCTCTGCCGATGTTCTCACGGATGCCATCCACTACATCAACCAAGCCGAGTTCAGCCCTCCAACATTTGAGGAGGGAGTTCTGGCAGAACACCAGTTGAAACGCAAGAGTGCGCCACGCAAGAAGGCCGATTTTGATGATGACGAGGAGGGCGAGCTTGACGACCCCATGTTCGGACCCCTCGGTCCCACGGTGCGCAAACCCATTGACGAAGAAGATGGCCCCAAGAAGTCGCCCAGGAAACGTAGGCCTCGAAAGGAACTTACCGAAGAAGAAAGACAAAAGAAGCGTAAAGAAAGGCGAAGAAAAGAGCAAGAAAAGGTGAAGCGCTTGAGATCAGAAAAGTATGTAAGGCCCGAGGACGATGAAACGGATTCTGAATACGACGAAGTCTTCTACGCTCGGGAACGAGAGGCAGAAGCAAAGGCATCGGCCATCCGCCACGTTGCGGAACGCCTTATTATATCTAAAAAGCCAACTAGAAAGCGTGGAATTGCAGCTACAGAATCTGCATCAAGTAGTGAGGAGCATCAGGGAGGAGGTGACGATTCTGATTCTGGTGATGATTTCATTCTTAGGGCAATGAATACAACTCTTGAGGAAGAGAACGGGGGGCAGCCAGAAGGAGTATTGCCAGATGGCAGTGATGGAGAGGGTCGCAAGAGGAGACGAATCAGTGTTGAAAAGACTCAGCCTGACGAGGATGAGGAAATGGGCGGCGTGAATAGGAATGGAGATGAGGATGAGAATGAGGATGAGGATGAAGCACCCGTCGTAACTCGAAGACCGCGTGTACGGGGTGGGTTTGTGGTGGATAGTGATGATGATGATGAGTAGATATTAAGTAGCATAATTACTGGCGTCTGAAGCGTTCATGCTATATCGCATGGTGGGAAAGGGGCAGAGGGAGGATACGTCTAGATTTAATGAACGGATGCCACCACCAAAGCTCTGCCATACTATCCTGTGGAAGTCATGGCCAAGACTCGGGAGAACTGGGTGCAAGGCCTGCACTTAGGGAGCAAGAAAACTCAAGACTTAAAAAGATGATACTAAAATAAACTTAGTAAAATGCCTCCTAAGCCCAAGCTAGACTTGGTAAATATTTTTTTCGTTTGGGGATTAAGGTCCTGAGTTTTCTTTCCTCTCCTAGCCTGCCTAGACCAGGGTGGCTTTTCCCCTTATATGGTAAACGAAGATTGATTCTAGATTTTTAAGTAACGTATGCAGTCCCTATTGGGGATGAGAGACTATCAAACAGTGGTATATCCTCCAAACATGTTATCTCATCGGCTTGTATCTTTCTATCTAAAACATAGGTAAATCATACTTTATTCTATGGGGTTGACTTTCTTTGTTGTCGTCTCTCCAAACTCCTCCTTCTTGTCGCTGTGCTCTGCCCAGATTGTATTTGACCTAGCTCTGCAAGATCCTCCTGACTCCTTCTAGGGGCACCAGGATGCGCAAGCACACTATCGCGATGTTCTGGACGTCGGAGGGCATCTCTCTGTTGCAAAGCAGGCTTTTCGTCGTCCTTGCCGCCCCATGACCCCCCGATTCCTTCCATGATGAAATCGGAGGCTGTTGGTTGGTCAAGAAGAGAGAGTTCCTCGGGGGAGAATATGCAGGGAAGTAGGAGAGCACGGATTGGTATTAGAGCAAAGATGATGACAGGGAAGCCGACAGCGGCTACAGTCTGGGTGATGGCAAAGGTGGCACCGAAGCCGACGAGCTCGATGAGGACAAAGTACCAAATAGCTGAGCGCCTGCGAATTTGAAGTAAGGGGCTGTTTGAAGGCGTGAGGGCCCGATCGCGCGCTAGGAAAATAAGCTTGCTCGTGATACCATTCCCTTCAAGGGCCTGGACACCCATAACAAAGAATAGACCCGCGAGCACACCATGGGGAATCAAGTGAAGGACCACTAAAAGGGGTCCCGTCATAGTACCTAAAGTAAGGAGACCTTGAGCAAAGTTGGAAAACCGTTGCTCTACAACGTGTGTGGCCTCGAAGGAATAGCCACCGCCTACTGGGTTGCCATCTTCATCATCTTCCTTGACAGCTTTTGTAACACAGAGCGACTCCGTATGGAAGGGTGCTTGAGGGATGAGACCATTGGGGAATGGTAGGCCAAGGATACCTGCAACACCAGTTGTCAAACCGAGGAGGAATATATCCCAGTGAAAACCAGCAGGTTTGCGAAGTGGAAACTCGCTGCCCTGGGCGATGAGTGAAGAAACTTTGATAGTAAGCAAGGTTGCCAGGAATCGAATACTCTATAACATACCATTATGATCGAACCAGAAGAGAATGGTCAGAAGGACTGCAAAGGGCAGAGCTAGAAAGATGTCACCCACGCTCAAATCCCAGAAGCGGACGAGCCAATCGCGGCCACTAGTAGGCTCAAAGGCGATGCCAGTGGGCAAAACCTCAAGATCAACCTCCTGCATACGGCCGAAATGGACAAAGCCAGTGAAAAAGATGATTGTCAAAGGTGTGCCATAGTCCTTGAGAAACACGCGCAAGGGGTGGCGGAAAAGGCTGCTTCCGCCAAGTTCGCCGCACACGTATGCTACCATGAAGACAAGAAGAGCGGCAACGATGGATAGATAGAACTCTTGCCCTCTACCGAGATGTTCGAGGACTTGGATGCCCTTTTGTAGGTAGATAAAAGCGACGTAAAACCCAAAGATGTCACAGGGGAAGCGCGTGACCCATCGAAGCCAGTTGCACGAGTTCGTTACGGCGAGAATCCAGTGAAGGATAAGTGACCATCTGGATGGGTCAGTTACCAAACTGTGGAAATTGAAAAGAGCCCCGTGTTGCACGGTGAACACCGACTTACATGCCGATCCAGCACATGAAGCCAATATAATTGACGCCGGTTGGTTTCATGATATCATATACGGTGCTTCAGAGGCCCAGGTCAGCTCCAGGATGCAAATTCGTTTGTGAGTAGCAGTAATCTTACTAGTTGAAGACGGTTATTGGGCCTAGAGAAGCATGGTTAGAGGGACAGCTCGGCGTAGTAGAAAAGGGAGGTCAAATTACCCGTAACTCCGACAATGACCAGCGGCTGTGCAGCAAATAGAGAGAAGACGACCGCCCCAAGAACAGAGGAGAGTAAAACTTCGTTGACGCCATACTTTGACCCTGTTTTCTGGAACATGTCGAGAGAGAAGGCCAGGGCAGGGAGGATGCTTGATGAGAAGTCAGCGTCACACGCAGTTTAATATGTAACGAAGGCAAGACAAGATGAGATGGAGATACTGACTTGGCAAAATACATATACACTGTAGCAGGGACTACACGATAGTCCCACGCGTCCGTCCAGTCGCTGACATAGTATGGTAATCGTCGACGGATGTCACTGACCATACCACGAAAGAGGTGGATTCTCCACCAAGCCTCTTGTTTTTGGTGAGGTGAGGCCATTCCATCGTGGTCTCTTTCGTGTCCTGGCGAAGCTGAAACCATGATGGCTGCCTCTAGAGATAATGAGGAAGAACTGTTGTATTGGTATTAGGCTTGACAAGAGATTGTTTGTTGTACCTTATGCAGACTGTATCGAACAACGAGTGGCACACTTCAAAGATGACTTTTGAGTGAGGAAATTCCGTGATTAATAGACGAGACAGTAGGAAGCGGAAACCAACAAAGTTGATATACATACATATAAGAAAAGATTCAGAATCGGCCGCCCAAGAATGTCACCGGTGCAAGGGTCTTGACTTGTCTTGACTTAGGCTACCAGTCTTCGGAGAAAGTGATTGATTGTTGACTCCACTCAGTAACTAAACATGACAACATCCCTGTCCTGGTTACATCCAAATGCTCAGTGCTCACCGAAATGAGTAAGTAGGTAACGGGGAAAAGGAAGGGAAATAGACTACATCGATATATACCTTATCGAAGCAGTTCAAGGGACTGCGGTGCGGGTCGATAAAACCCACTAATCGGGTCTCACAGGGGGTAACACCATAAAAAGAGGCACTTCCACCACGCTTCTTTGGGAGTGTGATGTAAGAATGGCCTCCATAATGACAGTGATGCGATCCAGACACCTTGGCAGCCAATAGAGTGCAAGCGACTCAATTGCATGCATGCTTAGACCAAAGGCGATACTCGTTTATTGCCGGCCAAACAGACAAGACAAAAAACTTCGATTGTGGGGGATCGGGATGCTTATTAAGACAACATCCAGTCCAGTGTCTCGACTAAGGGCTGTCACATCGCATAGGTACCTACCCGAATACGTACAGAGATAGGTAATCAATAGACAGTGCAATGGGTATCATGAGAATATCATCATCATCACCACAACAGCCTATGTAGGCTGTACTAGTACCTGCTACGTGGAAGACTGACTAGGTCCTCCCAGTCCTTATTCATCCTGACATGCACGGAACCTTTCGTCCAAGTCCTACCTAGTTACCAGCCATCCCACATGGATGCAAGTATCGACGTTGACAGCCCACCTTGACCCTGTTGTCGACAAGTGCATGATGTCGTAAAAACTTGTACCTTTTTATTACCCTTTTCGACACATGCGGTTACACCAAGGGAGCAGAGCCTCCTAAACCTCGGTCAGCAGAGGAACTTTCTCAGCCAATCAGCTTCACAGAACCAGCTCGCGGTCGATGATAATCGCGACATCTTGACTTATACTAATAGGTAGAATAGCGTTTGACGGCCGCCGGTTGCTTCAGACCATGCCAAGCTCACTAGGATCGACATTCTTTGTTTTTATTTGTTCTGTTAGTTCCTCGGCGGGGCTGGGAGCCATGAATTACGACTCATATTCCGGTTCCTCAAGGAGTAGATGGCATTGTTTTCTGGTAAGGCGACGCCAGGAAACTGGGACCTCTTTTCTAAATGACATACCCTCCAGTGGCCAACATCAACTCGTCATCTCGAGATGCTTATCAAGGCCTATTCTGCCTCCTGTCTGAAATATGGGATACATGGCAGCATAACCCTGATGGGTTCTTGATCAACTGTTACAAGATTGGCGAGCCAGGCAAATTAGACAACGTCTTCAAACCATCATTTTCAGGACAGAGAATTCAATCATCAATATATACTTAATGTTTTACAGTTCTATAGCCTAGAATACATTGTTACACGGTTGTTCCTAGCCTCGACCTCCAGGCTTTCCAACACGATGAGGGTAATTTCTGATGGTTGCGATGTGCCGGTTCTGCTAATAACGCATTGAACATCCAAAGGAATTGATCAAATGTTTTGGTAGAGTAGAGTGCCGCTTTTCTCTGCGCCTTGCTGTGGCCTCCATGACCCGTGTTGCTCCCCCCTGACGAATCATCGTAACGTCCTGGCCTGACATCAGAGTCCTCGGTTCTGGAATAGGCCTCGCTGTTATCCTCGTCGCTGCACAACCAATCCTCGTTCTGCCTCAAGTTCTCCTGTATTCCTCCTTCTGTCTTGCCTCCGCAGCACTGCGCATGACCAATCGTCGTCGATCGTACCACGGAAGCTACCTTCGCCAACCATGTGCTTGGCGACTTTTCTTTTCGACTCTACTCAAGCTCTTTGAAAGCTGGGGCAGGGGTAGGGGGGTCCTTAGGCGTATCTGTCTCCTCAGGGAATGGTGGGGGTGTGCTCTCCTCCTTACCGCCGCCAAAGTATTTCTCAAAGTCCTCGTTGTCACCAAATGGTCGCTTGCCCAAGATGCGAACCATGTCATCTCGCACGAGAACCTCCTTCTTGAGCAACTCCTGGGCGATTAGTCCAACTTCCTTCTTTTTCGAGGTCAAAAGGTCTCGGCATCGCTGGTAGGCTGCATCCACAATTCGGGAAACCTCCTGGTCGATCTGCTGGGCAGTAGATTCGGCAAATGGCTTCTGCATGCGGTTGGGGTCATTCTCGAAGTGAACGGGGCCCACCTTCTCGGACATGCCCCATTGAGTCACCATGTTTCGTGCCATCTGGGAAACCTTCTTGAAGTCGTCACTAGCACCTGTTGTCACGGTGGGGAAATGAAGCTCCTCAGATACACGGCCACCCATTGTCATAGCCATACGGTCCATGAGCTGGTTGGTGTTCATCAGGTAAGCATCCTGGGGCAGGTACTGAGCATAACCCAGAGCACCTTGGCCGCGGGGAATAATGGAGACCTTGAGAAGAGGGTCAGCATGTTCCAGGAACCAACCACAGATGGCGTGGCCGGCCTCGTGGTATGCAACAGTCTTCTTCTCCTCTGGCTTCAGCACGAGAGACTTGCGCTCAAGACCTCCGATAACCCGCTCAATGGCCCGCTCAAAGTGGTCCATCTTGACCTCATCAGCGTTGCCTCGGGCAGCTAGGCAAGTTAGCCAGGTAACACACACAATATCAGAATAGCCGGTAGAACATACCAATTAGAGCAGCCTCGTTGACAACGTTGGCAATATCAGCACCGGAGAATCCAGGGGTTAGAGTTGCCAGGCGACCAACAAGGTATTCGTGGTCCTCGTTCGTCACAATCTTGTTTAAATACACCTTAAAGATTTCCTGGCGACCTTTCATCGTAGGACGATCAATGAAGATATGTCGGTCGAACCGCCCTGGTCGCATCAGGGCTTTGTCGAGCATATCCGCTCGATTAGTGCCAGCAAGAACAACAACCTGCTCGCGAGTATTGAAACCGTCCATTTCAGTGAGAATCTGGTTCAGAGTTGCTTCCCGCTCATCGTTGCCACCGAATCCCCGGCCGCTCTCCTGTCGCGCACGTCCAATTGCGTCAATCTCGTCAATGAAGATGATGCAAGGGGCGTTCTTACGTCCTTCGGCGAACAAATCTCTCACACGTGAAGGACCGACACCGACGAACATTTCAACGAACTCAGAACCGCTCACACTGAAGAATGGTACTCCAGACTCGCCGGCTGTGGCCTTGGCAAGTAATGTCTTGCCAGTACCCGGGGGGCCAGCTAAGATAGCACCTCGGGGGATCTTGGCACCGAGCTTTTCGAACTTCTCGGGTTGCTTCAGGAAGCTCACAAACTCCATGATCTCGGTTTTTGCCTCTTCGAGGCCAGCAACATCTGAGAACTTGACCTTAACAGCACTCTCGGCGTTGAACTTTTTAGCCTTGCTCTTGCCGAAGTTGAACATACCTCCTCCAGCGCCACCACGTCCACCCATTGACCGCTGAGTCCAGAGGATCAAACCAATGAAGAGCAGTGTAGGACCAAAGGCCAGAAGGAGGTTGCCAAGGGTGCTGCCGCCAGCCTCGTAGCTCACAGGTATCCTTTCGGAAGGCGGAATACCCAGCTCATCTTGCGCCTGTTCTAACTTTCGCTCGAAGGATTCAACAGACCCTATAGAGAACACGTAGCTCTTTCTCGCAGGTTGTCCGCCCTCACCAGTAGCTCCAGTTGCAGATGGGTGAAGCTCTACCCGCACGTGTGAGCCATTAACGACAATCAGCTTCTGAACCAGGCCCTTATCCAGGAATGCTTTCCGCATCTCTTGCCAAGTAATCTCCTTCTCAGAGAAAGGGTTGGCAAAGAGTTCCGCAATCCATACAGTGACACCAATGGCGATACCAGTCTGAACAGCCTCCAGCCACCCGCTGCGCTCATTCTTCGGTGGCTTGCCACCCTTCTGCTGCTGCTGTTGTTGCTTCGACTTGTCAGCGTTACCCTTTCCGTCCTGAGTCTTCGGTTCCTGGTCCATGCGGAAGGAGGAAAATTGCCCATCCCGGTTCTCCTGTTGATCTTCCAACTCTATTATCCGTTCTGTGACCATGTATACACATCGCATAAGCCTTCCCTTGTCCAAGATCGAAAGGTTCCCGTTCTGGCGTTGCTTCTGAAGAAGGTCTCGGGTCTCGGCAGGAGCGCCAACAATTTGAAGTTTCTCAAGAATGTCCTTCGCCACCGGCCTTTGAGCCTCTGGAAGTCGACTTGTAAATTCCTCGAGATGTGCCAGTTCTTCCTTGTTCAAGTGAATCCAGCCTTCGGGCAGAGGTGGCGGCTTTGGTGCGTCAGACTTGCTTCCATCGGGCCCGTTCTTTGCACTGTGTTGATTCAATGGCTTGCTTCCATGCTCATCATCTTTTTCGGGGTTTGATAGGGGACCTTTGCCGGGAGGTGGGGGTTGCGAGGAATATGTCCTTGCTCGAATGGCGAATGCGGCAGAAGTCTTTGCGGGGATCGATCGGGTGACAAGTGACGGCCTTACACATAAGCGCAGTGCAGGCTGTGTTGACAATCTCGTCGCTCGTGCGAGCTGGCTTGATTGTCTTAAAAATCTCGACATGGCGGGCAACGCAGGCTGTCGCAAGTGCGGAACTACCGGGGTTGTGTGTATAGATAAAGGTAATTGAGAGCGCCGTGCTATCTCATGGGGTAGCACGGCTCAAGCCAGCGATGCTATTGACTAATATTTGAGGCCGGTATACAGTCGTATATGGCGAGAACTCGGAATTCCAGCGCCAATGGGTGAATATGAATATGTTGGATGGCACCACCAAGTGAAAGCTTCTGGTGATGAGTCTACAGTGGTTGCTTAGCTCGAAAACTGAGGATCACGTGTTGGGGAAGTTGCTGAGTGTGGGGTCAACTGTGGGCGGAAGGTGAGAGGATTGGCTGATATGATCGCCTCGGGGAATGTGTCAGTACGTACGTCAATGAGTGATGCCTGTTCTATCTTACCGATGGATGCGTAGGTCTGTCCGGCTCTGCAATGCTTGACATCCATCAAATGAGGAAGCACATCGGTTTTGCACTTGTCAACCTAGGGGAGGAAAGAAAACTCAAGACCTTGATCCTAATTGACAAAATGACCTAGGTAACTTTATATAAATTTAGGATATCTTTTACTGAGTTTATTTTAGCACTCTATATAAAGGTCTGGTGTTTTCTTGCTGTCTGAGGGACACTAACTATAAGTGACAAAGACCTAGGCAAGTTTCGTACAACATAGTGTGGATCTGGTAGACCTTGGATTATATATTTTTTGACACTTTGGCCCCAAGACAAAGGTTCTCTTGCTCCTGAAGGTTCATCTACTACCCTATCGCTCCGCCCATTCCAGGTTGTGGATGAGAATGGATCGTATGAGGCCACCGCCTTTCACTGGAACTCGGCAATCTTCCTTTGATTCAGTGAGATGCAAGAGTATTTCTGCATCCTTGGCTCCCTCGAAATCAGGCAAGTCACGCCAAATTTCAGTCTTTGATTTTTGGGCAATTGGGTGGTTGAAGTACAGCTGCAACACACGACGGGCCTGCTCATCGTCACCGATTTCGAACAGGACCACGCTGGGCTTAAGGAGTTCTGCAATGTCCAAAAGCCGTGCGTAAAAGACGTCTGCTGGGTTGCATTTACTAGGGCAAGGGAGGTCCTTATCGGGGACCAATGCGAGGCGCGGTTCATATTTTCGGACTGAATAGCCAAGTTGCCCACGGCCATGATGCCAGATATCTTCTGATATATATGGAGGATTAGACACGAGAATATCCCAGGGGGTAACGGCGAGCTGCTGCATGTCGCCATCACTGAAAACGTTTGCCCTTGTGATGTCAAGCCGCTTGTGTTTTGTGGGCTTAACCAAATTTCCAAGCCTGACGTTCCGTGTGATGTTCTCCTGTGCGAGTCGGAGGGCTACAGGCGAAACATCCACTCCTCGCACGGTCAAATTGTCAACTGAGTGCTGGAGGGATGAGAAAAGTCCAAGAGGTATACAACCAGTTCCTGTGCAGAAGTCGATTATGTTTACTCCACGGTCCGTTTTCCTTACATTTTGTCCTAGAAGCTCCCCTGATTTGATGAGGTTTATTAGATGGAAAGTGTATGCTTCGGTTTCTGGTCTAGGTATTAAAACACCTTGTTTGCACTTGATGTCAAGTGAGCCAAATGGCTGAGAGCCGATGACATACTGAAGTGGCTCACCACGCCCCCTTCTTCGACATAAATTCTCTAACATCCATGATTTGTTTCGTGACCGTGATTCATCGACATGGCTTCTTAGCCATCGGAGCTCATTCTGGGCAGAAGTCAAGTCCCGGCAAGCTGGAAGAAGGCTTGCGATATGTGGCGAAAGGCGCCTAGCACGCCGCAACAAAGATGGCTGAATGCGCGGCATGACGAAAGACTTTCATTGTTGAGCCTGCAACGGTGAAGGTTAATGCATGGCAGAATTGGAAGCATGCCATCAGAAAGTTGAGGTTGGATGTACATATTGTCATGATTAACCGACCTTTAACCTGTCACGCCTTGAAGCTTCGAGCCTCTGAGGGCCGCCCCTGCGTCACCTTGCTTAATTCTTTAACTCTTTGTTCACAACTTGACCAACTCGCTCAAGATACAACCTCCTTTTGGATCTTTTTGGTGCTGTATTCTCTACAATTTCTCGCCGAGCGATTCGAGCGATTCGAAACGCAAACTGCCGACATTCTTGGATTTTTGTTGCCATCGCCACTTTACCGCCAAATCTCAAACCACCCAACACTCTGACCAAGAACCGAAGATGAACGCGCCTGATCGGTAAGACCGTCTTTTTCTATCTCTTTGTCTGTCCCTCTCTCTATTTATTCAGGTCTACTCTCGTGTGTTTTCAGGCTGCTTGCTCTTCTCTAAGTCTGGCAAAAAAAAAAAAAAACACAAATATCAGGTCAGAGTCCAAAACTACACGCTCTTATTATCCTGCTTGGTCAAGCGCCATGTGAAGTCAAATGCCCAACATTGGTTCGACAATCGGTCTGTGCCTTTGCATAGGGAACAGCTTTCATTCTGGCAAGTTGCCAGCTTGGTCTGTCTTATCACCCTGCCGTCAGTTGGTTGAGAAAGCATTATGCGACTGGCAGTGTTACCTAGTTGGCATTACCCCTAAGTATGAATGCCCAGCCTTTTTAAGGCAGTATGGGTTTTCGAAAGTCTGAAAGTCATCAAGTAACTATCCTTTCCTTGAATCTATGTTCTGCGTTCATTTGCGGTGTCAGTGGCGGGCACTGTCTCTGGAAAAAATTATCTCGCGGCCTGCCTTTGCGAAGCAATTAAAAAACCATTTTCCTCAAGCGAGTCAGGTTCATCTCATCTATTTCAACGCCATAAAAAGCACATAGCATATATTTGCCTTTTCACCAAATATTAAACAATGGCCGGTGGTAACCCCAAGCATTTCAATCTCCAAGATGACCTGTTACGTTGCTTTGAACGACTTGACGTCTTTCGCAAGCTAACAAACTTGACAGTTTCGAGTTGTTCCTGCTCGGAGAGGGCGAGAAGAAGATAGAAGAAAAGGTCTTCTCAGGTCAGCTCTCTCACGACTTATGTCTATCCTCTGCTTACAATATTTTTAGGGATGTCCAATACCTCCGATTTTGTCCTCATGAAAGAAGACCACACTCTGGGTAACCTTCTCTCCGAGCATCTCAAGATGCACCCCAATGTCTACATGGCTGGGTATAAGAGTACAGATCCTGCCGCCCTTGATGAATCTTGTGCTGACATCGTACACAGTTGCTCATCCCAACGTTCCTGAGCTTTTCATTCGAGTCCAGACAGATGGTACCATCACCCCCCGCGATGTCTTTACTTCTGTCTGTGAGAAGCTCATCAAACAACTCGAGATGCTGCATCAAGAGTTCACGCGAGAATGGGAATTGAGACGCATCACCAACACTGGTGAGCAGGGAAACATGCAGAACGGCCACTGAGTTCCGCGTTCATCATCAGGGATCATCTAAAACGGACAGGCATCATGGACGGTCGGCGTTGGGGCTGCAGGTTACTGCTTATTTATTTTTAACCAGATATAAACTGGAATGAGCTTGAGATCAGACTCTTCTGAGCTATACTGCGGTCCTTGTTTCCACTTGATGTGCATGTTGTGACACACATAAAAAATAGGTCGCGCCAGGTTTGCTTGAGTTTAAAAGAGGGGAGGCCTGGGCTCGAGATGAGTTTCGATCGAAAGAGGTTTCGTGATGTCTATGATCCTGGTAGACCATTCTCAAGCAGCTCCTTCTGGGCCTTCACCACCGGGGATCAACTGATAGAGTTTTAGTACAAAAAGCAGGGAACGAGTTCCGATTGACTCACCATGCAGATGTTGTTGCCGTTCAGCAGAATCTTGGGAAGTTTAGTGTGGTTACCCGAATAGTCACTATTGAGTTAGCCAGTGCCGGAAATGCAATAATGGAAATGTTGCTCATACAACTCGGTTACATCCTCCAGAACCATATCTATACTGGTGATTAGTTTCGGTAGCGGCGAGCTGGGAGAGTAATACTCACTGACGTAGTCATCAAAGCCGACGAGAGTTCCGCTGAATTCTATCACCTTTTCAGTACAATCGTCTATGAGCATGCAGAAACTCATCTCTCACCCTTATCGCCCTTCATAATGACCCAAATCCTGGAGCCTACACACTTATCGATAAGCTCTACGCAGAAGAGTTAGTATATAGCTTTGATACATCAAGGATCTCTATGGAAGGCTACTCACCGAGAGGTAACAGTTGGGATGCCATTGTGAAAATGTGACGTGGGTGGATCGAATGAAGAGTTATCGATCTGAAACGTCTTCTTTGCTCAGAACTATTACTGAAGTGCCGGTCTTAGTTACCGAAAGCCAAATGCTATATCTCAGAGTTGAGCTGAAGTCGTCAAGGTCGTCGTCTCAAAGTCTCAAAGTGGGATGGATTATGGAGGTGTGAGTAGGTAAGGGGCCTAGGTAGGTAGAGCACGTCCCCACGTGCTCTCGCGATAATCGCGGTGACTAAGCCAATTCGTTGCCCACCTCCACCCTCCCCAAGCCACCCACCAACGCTCAGAATCAATGATCGCCCTATTGACGCGGCTGCCTAACAAATCTCACATACTGCGCAGTAGTCTTCGCGTATCAGGGTCATGGGCTTTTGCCACAATGGCTCACCGACGCTGGCTACATTTCAATCACTTCATACCCCAATGATATTGTCTTCACAGGGGCGCATTGCTGGCAGTGTATCAAGACCCTTGACAAGAACGCGTCAGTTCCCCTCTGTTAGTAGGTATGTTGAGGTACCCGTCTTTAATTTAAAACTTCCTGACGGTTCTATCTACAAAGGAAAGAGTTCAGCTTCAGCATGCCATCAACTATAAACAATCGTCTGTGGAATCCGGCTTTTGGGATCAGGTTCTCTACGAAAAATGACCATCATCCACCTTACCCTTTCCTAGATATTACTCGCTTCGTCCATACCTCTGCCTCTGGGTCTGGGGGTGTTGAAAAGGGAGATGTCGAAGCTGACGAGTTCAGCGAAGGTGAAGAGTT